TTTTATATCTTTCCCCTCTCACCTTAAACCTATGCCCCTCTAGTTTTGAACCCCCTACCCTGGGGAAAAGACCTTGACTATTCACCCTATCCATGCCCCTCATGATTTTAGAAACCTCTATAAGGTCACCCCTCAGCCTCCGACACTCCAGGGAAAATAGCCCCAGCCTGTTCAGCCCCTCCCTGTAGCTCAAACCCTCCAATCCCGGTAATATCCTTGTAAATGTTTTCTGAACCCTTTCAGGTTTAACAACATCCTTCCTATAGCAGGGAGACCAGAATTGAACACAGTATTCCAAAGGTGGTCCTGTACAGCCGCAACATGACCCTCCCAACTCCTATACTCAATGCACTGACCAATAAAGACAAGTGTACCAAACGCCTTCTTCACCGCCCTATCTACCTGGGACTCCACTTTCAAGGAACTATGAACCTGCCCCCCAAGGTCTCTTTGTTCAGCAACACAGGTTTATCTAAATCAAACTCCATCTGCCACTTCTCAGCCCATCTGATCAAGGTCCCATTGTACTCTGAGATAAACTTCATCGCTGTCCCCTACGCCTCCAATCTTGGTGTCATCTGTAAAATTACTGATGGTTCCTCCTATATGCGTGACCAAATTGCTTACGGTCGGTTTCTGAAGACGTCTCTTGAGCTCAGGACTCTTCCTGGTCAGAAAGGGAGTCTGGGTAATCCAAGACGGAGGATGGGAAAAATTTGTGTCTGTAGGAGCTGCTCCATTTTTTTGAGGTATTTTCAATGTTGGAGCTGATTTCCTGGAATTCCAAACTTGCAGTATTTACTGTTTGATAAGCTGTTGCATTGTTTTGGAACTTTGGGGAAAAATAAAATTAAGAAAGGAGGAAGACAGACAAAGGCAGTGGCAATACTGGAATGAGCTGCCAGAGGAAGTGATGGAGGCTGGAACAATGTTAACATTTAAAAGGCATCTGGATGGGTACATGAATAGGAAGGGTTTAGAGGGATAGGGTCCAAATACTGGCAAATGGGACTAGATTAATCTAGGATATGTGGTCAGGATGGACAGGTTGGGCCGAAGGGTCTGTTTCCGAGCTGTGCATCTCTATGACTCTATGACATGCCCCTTTCGGCCTTCCTGGGCAGTCCAGATTGGAAATGGACAAAACCTTACAGGGAGTGAACGTTGAGATGGCTATGGTGTTATTTCTCTTTACTGAATCGTTGTTCCACAGAAACAGAGAGACAAAAGAAAGGAATCAAGTTTGCATTTGTTGAAGTCTTGTTGAAAGGACCCCCCACTGTATTGCTCGAAGGGGCATTCGAATTCTAACTGGTGTCTTTTGTGGTTGAGATAACACAGTGGCAAATTCAGAAATGCCTTCTTCACTCTCCTGTCTACCTGCGACTCCATTTTCAAGGAACTATGAACCTGTAGCCCAAGGTCTCTATGTTCGGCAACACTCCCCAGGACCTCACCATGAAGCGTATCAGCCTGGTTTGCCTTTGCAAAATACAGCACCTCACATTTATTTAAATTAAGCTCCATCTGCCCTTCCTTGGCCCATCTGATCAAGGTTCCGTTATACTCTGAGATAAACTTCCATCGCTGTCCCATACATCACCAATTTTGGTGTCATCTGCAAACCTACTAACCATTCCTCCTATACTCTCACCTCCCAGCTGTTTTTACGTACTTAGAAAGACAAATTAATCTTCTTTATTAAATATGTCATGTTGTAATGAGACCGTAGTTAAAGCTAATAATTTACTGAACACTGGAAAGAGAGGCAATTTCCTGTTTCCTAATCTGTTGTAGCCATGGTGACAGGCAAGTTACTTATTGACTGTCTAACACCTTTCATGACCTTCATCCTGATTGTTTGAATCTTCTTTTGAGAGCTGCCCTCTCTAGTGCTGCGGTTAGTGTAGCAAAAGACGGAGATTGGGAGCGATTAGAGAGAAAGGAAGTGAAGGAGCAGATGCTTAGAGTGACAGAGACGGAGAGAGAAAGAAAGAGAGAGGGAGGCAAAGAAAGACAGAAAGAGACAGACAGAAAGAGACAGACAGAAGCAGAGAGGGAGGCAGAGATAGACAGACGGAGAAAGTGGGAGAGAGAGACAGAGAGAGGAACAAAGAGTATGGGACAGAAGAGACATAAATATCGTTAGATAGAGAGTGTGAGAGAGATAAAGAAAGATTGAAAGATACACAGACAGAGAAAGTGTGAGAGAGAGAGACAGACAAAGTGAAAGAGAGAGAGACAGAGAGAGGAACAGAGAATATGGGGCAGAAAGAGACATAAATATCGTTAGATAGAGAGTGTGTGAGAGACAAAAAAAGATGGAAAGACGCAGAGTCAGAGAGAGAAAGAGAGGGAGGGACAGGCAGTCAAGACTGAGAGGAAGATGAGAGTCAGGCAGATGCAAAAACATAGAGAGTGAGAAAGAGAGAGACGGAGAGAGAGAGAATTGACGGTGAATTAGAGGGATACAGAAGAAGAAATCAGAGTCAGGTAAAAGAAGCAAAGTATGTGACAGAGACAGGTTCCAAAGGAAAGTGAAAGACAAATCCAGTGTGAGAGAGAAGAGGGAATGAAGAGACAGAGAAATGGAGAGAAATACAATGTGTGAGAAATCAGTTGTTATTTATTCACTGAAAACCAGCAATCTGTAGAGATCGTAACATTTAGAGTTACAACGACAGATCAGAACCCCAAAGTATTTATAGATCATTTAGAAAAAAAGCTTTTAATTTCAAAAGTTATCTTTTTCTTCAAATAAAAGACTGTAAACAGAAGGGAAACAATCTGTAGATCTAAATTCAGTGACAACTGATGAACGCAATGAAACTTTGCACCCGTAACATGTCAGAGAAACTTTAGAGAGAAACTACGTGGGTCTTTGTCAGAAAGTCAATTTGTGCACACCTACCGTTCTGACCCTTTGGGAATATATAACAGAAAGGAGTTCAGACTTGCTGGCAGCATTAGTCTGTGTGAGTTATTGGCCAGACGTCCTATTATTTGAGACAGGGTGCCTTGGGAGCAGGCAGTTCTAAACACCCTTGCACTGCAGGTAAAACAAAGGAGAGGGGACACACTCTCTCTCTCACTCTGAAGGCTGGAATTTGTTCACTGTCGAAAAGGATCAGAATGAATAGGATTTCCACCGAACTGCAAAACCAAAACTCTCAATATAGGCTGCCGAACTGCCAGCGTGAATTCTATCCCTGCGGGATCGAACATGAACAGTTCGGAGACGGCTGAAGGTTTGGAAAAACTTATGTCTTTTCAGACTCGTTTCCCGTTTCAACTCTGCAGGCATCTCTGCGTCGTTAACATTTCTTCCTGCGTTTAGTGATGGATAAACTCACTCTTTGCGAAATTCAAGAGAACCCAGTTCAATTTTTGCAATTTAAATTCATTCAGGTCTGGGAAAAGGTATCCAAAAATAATTCCTTTTACACTAACCTTGTCGTGTCTGATTCAGGAGCTGTGAGTACACCCCTCCTCACCCAGCAGGTAGGGGGTGGAGTTGACAGAAAGACATTGGGGCAACTTGCTGGAAGATTGTGGGACAGGGAAGTGATTGTGTTTGGAGATATTAATGGTTACAAGTTGTCTCCACGCTGTATGTCAGACATTGACCCAGAGAGGCCAGCTCCGGCTGGGCTCAGCATTTATTTCCCCGTCCCTAATTGCCCCTTGAGAAGGTGGGGGTGAGCTGCCTTCTTGAACCGCTGCAGTCCTGTGTGGTGTAGGGGCACCCACGCAGTGCCCGGAGGGAAGGAGTTCCAGGATTCTGGCCCAGCGACACTGAAGGAACGGCCGATATATTTCCAAGTCAGGATGGGGAGTGTTTCGGAGGGGAACTTGAAGGGGGGTGGTGTCCCCATGTGTCTGCTGCCCTTCAAGATGGAAGTGGTCGTGGGTTTGGGAAGGTGCTGTCTGAGGATCTTTGGTGAGTCATTGCAGTGCGTCTTGTGGATGGTACACACTGCTGCTACTGAGCGTCGGTGGTGGAGGGGAGTGGGAAAGACCATAAAAGCAGGCCATTCAGCCCATCAAGTCCCCTCCACCATTCAATGAGATCGCCCTCAGGCCCACGTATTTCAGCAGTGAGACGAGGGAGTCAGAGGGTGAGGTGAAAGGGGCGCTATGCGAATGCAAGGAGAAGCGAAGAGTTTTGATGGCGAGCAGAGATCTGGAAATGTCAGTGGGTCGGCTTTATTCTGCGTTACGACACGAACGAGATTCTGACAAAGTCCCAGAGTTGGAGACCCGTGAACCACACTGTTGGAAAGAAGTGAGCTGAGAGGTATCTGTCCAAGAGCGATGAGGATTGGGGTTTGGGGACAGCGTTGTTGCATCTCACCGCGGAGCGCCTGACAGTAACCAGCCCCCATCACATCTTGGGGTGCACACGCGCCGTGGTTTCTAATTCAGCGATTCCTCATCCATCTGTTTCTTCCATCTGTATTGCTTACAGCCTGCAACAACGACATACAGCACACAGCATGACTCACTGAGCCCTGGCATAGGACCTGACCAGACCCTTTATCCAGTAAAACCACCCCCAGGGTTCCCGTGGGCCACAGAAGACAACTTTGCTCATTGTTACAGGACATCATGGGAACCAGAATGGAGCTGTGACCAGTAACTGTACCTTACCTGGTGTTTAACACAAGATACCATCCTGGGGAAGGTTCATCAATACAGTGGGTAGAGGGGAAACATGTCCTTTGGCAAGGGATTATTGCTCAAAACGGTTGATGGGTAGTTGGGAGATTTCTAATGACACAGAGAGGGCCCCTGATCCTGACACTGACCCTGACCCTAACACTAATCATAACCCTGAACCTAACCTGACCCTGACTCTAACCTGACCCTAATCATAACCCTGACCCCGACCCCAACCTTACCCCTAAGCCCAACCCTGACCCTAAGCCTAACCCCAAACCTGATCTTAACCCAAACCCTGACCCCAACCCTAACCCTAACCCTGACCCTAACTCTAACCTTAACCCTGACCCTAACCATAAGGCTAATCCTACCCAAATACTAAACTTAATCTAAACGCTAACCCTAAACCTAAACTCTGATCCTGACCCTAACCTGAAAACCTGACCTTAAATCCTGACCCTAACCAAGTAGCACAGTGGCTCAGTGGTTAGCACTGCTGCCTCATGGTGCCAGGGACCCGGGTTCGATCCCACCCTCGGGCAACTGTCTGTGTGGAGTTTGCACATTCTCCCCATGTCTGTGTGGGTTTCCTCCGGGTGCTCCGGTTTCCTCCCACAGTCCAAAGGTTTGCAGGTTAGGGTGGGTTGGCCGTGCTAAATTGTCCCATAGTGCCCAGGGATGTGCGGGTTAGGGTGGATTGGCCGTGCTAAATTGTCCTATAGTGCCCAGGGATGTGCGGGTTAGGGTGGATTGGCCGTGCTATAGTGTCCCAGGGATGTGCGGGTTAGGGTGGATTGGCCGTGCTAAATTGTTCCATAGTGCCCAGGGATGTGCGGGTTAGGGTGGATTGGCCGTGCTAAATTGTCCCATAGTGCCCAGGGATGTGCAGGTTAGGGTGGATTAGCCATGGGAAAGGTGGAGTTATCGGGTAGGGGTGTGGGTCAAGTTCGGATGTTCTTCGGAGGGTCAGTGCGAGCTGGATGGGTCTACTTCCACACTGTAGGGGATTCCAGCCCTGACTCTAACCCTAACCCTCATTAATATCCAAAGAGCTTCAAATGGGGGACACCACCTTGATTTTGATCTGTACACCCCTCATTCTAGACCCTCCCATAATCCTCTCAGTATCCAGCCTGTCATCTCAGGATCTTTGGCCTCTTGAGAGGTTCACTGTAGAGATTGGAGCCTGGTGGATCTCATAGAATATGAGATCCCAGATTGAGGGCTCTTAACCTGGTCCTATCAGGGAGCTCTGGCTGACAGGTAGAAACAGGAGGGTCAGGGGTTCTGCTCACTCTGAGGGAGCTGGGTCATCATCAAGGACTCTGAAGGGGAGAAGGTGAGGGTATTTCAACCACCTCTCAATCTTCTGCGATCTGAAGGGTACAGGAATAAATTGTCCAATTTTTTTTCACAACCTGTTGGGATGAACTTTCTCTGACTTCCTCGACAGGAATAATGTCGATGGGAGGCCAAAATCGTACACAGGATAACGAACCTAAAGCTGCTGAAGGCTGTTCGTTTTTTTACAGAAATAGAGAACAGGAGGAGGCCATTCAGGCCTCCATGCCAGCTCTGCCATTCAATATGATGGACCATCCAACATGGCGGCCTATATTACACTCCCCTCTAATAAAGGCCAATTTTTCATCATTTCCCACACCATCACCAGGCTCCTGGGGTTCATTTACATAACTTCATCTACATAGTTCACCATAACTGCAGAGATCCACTTCTCTCTCCCTCTCTCCCTTTTTCTCCTTCTCTCTCCCTCTCTCTCTGTCTCTCTGTCTCTCTCTCTCCCTTTCACTCGCTCTCTCCCCCTCTCTCC